AAGAGAGCACAACCATCTTTTACATCAAAACCATGGAGGCTAGGAAAGAAGACAGATGGAAGTGGGCTCATAGCAGTAAAGGCAAGTTTTCTGTGGCTGACTCTTATAAGCTATTAATCTCTGATAAAATTAAGAAGCTGGATTTAGCTGAGAGCAGCAAAGCAGCTCTGATTGACCCAAAGGTTAGAGAGAGAAGCTGGAAATTGAATGTAAAAGGGAAAATCAGACATTTTGTACGGAAATGCTACAGTGGGATCTTACATGTGAACATAAACCTCCATAAAAGAGGATTGGCAGTTGATGTCATCTGTCAAATGTGTGGAGAAGCTCCTGAGACCATTTAGCACATCTTCCTCAATTGCAGCAAAGTCAAAGTGGTATAGAAGCTAGCCCCACTGTCCTGGGATGGTAAAGACTTGCAGAACTCCAACTTCAAAGAGTGGTGGTGGCAGGTTTGTGGCATTAGTAAGAATGAAGTCTCTGAGACTAGAATCCAACTATCAACTTATATACTATGGTGGCTATGGCGAGCCAGAAACTTATGGATTTTTCAGAAGGAATGCCTACTTGAATCTGTAATCATTAATCGAGCAAGTGGAGAGTGGAAAGAATTCTGTGCATTGAAGCAACTTAGAGATCCTGGAGCTGTGCCTTGACATTGTGCTTGGATTTTGTCTTATTAGCTTTAGTCTTGGGTGTTGTGTTTTTCTGCTTGCTTTTTATTTCCTTCCTTTTTCCTTTGCTTTTGTTTGGAGCTGCAGGTTGTTTGTTTTGTAGTTGGGTTCTGTGTGATCTTGTTAGGTGTTAAAATGGGGGAGCTTTGGTGGATTAGAGGTGTTATCAAGGGTCGGGTGTTTGTACCTGCTTGATACCTCGGGTGGGGTGTATGTAAACCACTGTTTTCAGTGGGTTTCCCAGTGTTCTTCTACCTGTTGGTAGGCTCGGAGGTTCATCTTGTAATCTTTTATGTTGGCTATGAGAAAATCCTATCGTTTGGAAAAAAAAGCTTCCCCTTCTTCCCGAAGTCAACCACACCCCTCATGGGTGCAACCTCCAGGAACACATTTATACCAACATCAATCCCACGGTGAATACATAGTCTTTAATTGAGACTCGAGACTCCGCTCGACAATGCAGCACCTCAAATTCTTGTCGGCTCGAGGGACGCCTTCATACGGCTAAGCAATAATCAACAAAACTCACTTAATCGAGAATTAAGTGATTTAGGGAATTCATACATTGGTTCAACGGAACTTGGCGCTCTCGGTTCAAGGTTTGAAAGACAAGGTTCAAGAGGGTTCCAACACAATTTAGTACAGGAAACTGGTTGAACGATTCAAAAATGAATCCATGGTATGGGTCGGTGTACTTTCCCACGAGAAGGGGCACATTCGCTGGCGATGCATAAGCGGGGCGCTGGAACGCGAGTGTGTACCTGTTCAGAGACCAAGTGCAAGGTCATGGTTTGGCCATACATACTGGCATTGTGAGTTTGGCGTCCGTTGATGGCGGCTACAGCTCATGCGAGTCAACAGTCGGCTGCGCGCTAGCCTCGCGTCTCTCAGCACGGGCATGCGTGCTCGGCCACCACTTCGCGTGGCTGCACCCGGCCAGGGCCAAATTTGGGTTCAAGGTACTACGAGGAAATTCTTTAATCCGGGATCAATCATTTCCTAGGTAACTGGAAAAAAAAGGGTTTTTCACAAA